ATTTTATTGATTTTTTACAGAGAGGAAGGGAGAGGGATAGAGAGTTAGAAACATCGATGAGAGAGAAACATCGATCAGCCGCCTCCTGCACACCTCCTACTGGGGATGTGCCCGCAACCAAGGTACATGCCCTTGACCGAAATCGAACCTGGGACCTTTCAGTCCGCAGGCTGACGCTCTATCCACTGAGCCAAACTGGTCAGGACACATAGAATATTTTTAATCCTCACCGGAGGATATGGTTTTATTGATTTTCAGAGAGAGAGAGAAACATCAATCCGTTGCCTCCTGCACATACCCTGACTGGGGATCGAACTTGCAACCTAGGTTTGTGCCTTGCCCAGGAATTGAACCCAAAATCTTTTGGTGTACTCCACCCAATCGAGCCACCCAGCCAAGGCTAGGAAGAATTCTTCCTCGCCTCTTCCCGCTTCTGGTGGCTACAGCCACTTCTCAGCCTGTGGCTGCATCTCTCCAAACTGTCTCCATCTTCACACAGCCTTCTCCTCTGTGTCTGTGTCTCCTCTGTGTGTCTGTGTCTTCTCTTCTGTCTCTGATGACGACACTTGTCATTGGGTTTAGGGCCCACAAGAGTAATTCAGGGTGCTTATCTTTTTTCTTTTTTAGAAAAAGGAATGGGGAGGGAGGGAGAGAGGGAGAGAGAGAGAGAGACAGAGAGAGACAGAGAGAGAGAGAGAAACACCAAAGTGAGAGTGAAATATCAATTGGTTGCCTTTTGCAGGAGCCCCAGGGATTGAACCAGAAACCTGGGTATTGCCTTGACGGGGAATCGAACCCACAGCCTTTTGGTGTACAGGATAATGCTTCAACCAAACTGAGCCACACTGGCCAGGGCAAGATCCTTTTTTTTTTCATATATATATATATATATACTTTTTAATTGATTTCAGAGAGGAGGGGAGAGGGAGAGACAGAAACATCAATGATGAGAGAGAATTATTGATTGGCTGCCTCCTGCACGCCCCACACCGGGACCAAGCCCACAACTTGGGCATGTGCCCTGACCTGGAATCGAGCCGTGACCTCCTGGTTCATAGGTCGACACTCAACCACTGAGCCATGCTCAGCCGGGCAAGATCCTTCTCTTAATTACATCAGCAAAGACCCTTTTCCAAATAAGGTTACATTCACAGGTTCCAGGGACATATCTTTGTGGGGGGCCACCATTCAACCCACTGCAGAGTGTTGGGCCCTGGAAACAGCCGTGTGAGAACTCCCCACGCCGTAACCCCAGCACATGGGTACGGCCATGCGCAGTGACTGTCTCTCCAGCGGACCCTGAGCTCCAGGAGGCCAGGGCAGGGTCTGCCCTTCCCACCGCAGCTAACACACTGCCTGGCACGGAGCCGACCCGTGGGAAGTGACGGTAAAATGAACAGTGATCACTCCCCACTGCGTGATGGGGGTCTGCGATTCTTTGTGGTGTGTCCGGTGCCCTGTCACACTGTGTGACCAATTTGAGGCTGTGAACAGAAATGACCATGATGTAGTCCGTATTCCAGAGAAGAAAACGGAGGCTCAGAGAGAGCAAGCCTCCTGTCCAAGTCTGCTGCCCTCAGCTCCCATGTTCATACTCATGGGCCCTCTTGCCTCTCAGGAAGGTTGTGTGTGGCTGTATCTATTCTTTTCAGTGAGTGCATGTGAGAGTGCAAGCACGCGCATGCGGGTGCTGCTGGAAATGGGTGTCAGTAACAGAAATGACACCCAGGTGATGAATATCATGAGGGAGGCTGGGAAATGTAGTTTTATCTGGGTCACATGCACCCAGCTAAAATCCTGAAGTTCTGTTACAAAAGGAAGAGGGGGGATAGTTACAGAGGGACCACAGGGTCTCCGTCGCACCAGGGCTCTGCTACCGAAGGGCTAGGTGACCCTTAGGCAACGAGACTTGACTGCCCTGAGCCTTAGCTTCGTCATCTGTAAAATGGAAATAATATTCCACTTTGTTGCTGGGTGGG